TTACGGGTTAGTCGAGTTACGGGTTATTTGGGTTACGGGTTTATCGAGTTACGTGTCAGTCGAGTTTGGATAATCGGGTTGCAAGTTAGTCGGGTTGTAAATTAATCGGGTTACAGGTCAGTCGGGTTGCGGGCCAGCCAGATTGTGAGTCAGTCGGGTTATGAGTCGGGCGGGTTGTGGGTTGTTCGGGTTAGCGCATTGTGTTACTTACTTTTTACTTGTTTCATCTTACACATTATTTATTCAATCATTTCAAAAAACATTTCTTAATTTTTAGACATTTTTTCTGTCCTTGTATATTACTTATGAAAATTTAAGAAATTTGTCAAAGTGTGAATTAGTTTTGTACTCTTTTGAAGTAATGAGTTATAGCAATTGTATTACTTGTAAACTTAGCATATAATTAATCATAATTGATAGAGTATATTAATTAATAGTCATATTTCAACCACAAATTAAAAGGTGTACATGACACAAATAATTAAAAATTTGTATCCACTTTCAAACAAAAACTTAGATAACTAACTCCACGTACATTTATGTGATGAAACAAAGTGGTGTAAGATATATACAACTTCAAGACGTACATGGCTCGAAACTTAAGTCAATTTAAACTTATAAGACAACTTAATTGTATGTTTGTAAACCAATTTTATTAGCTGCTCACTATCTGCCTCCTAAACTGGCCTACTATTAGTCATATATCTCGTAGGTTGATTAGATTACACACATTTCAATTTAGTGATTTATTGCTAGTGATGTAACTTGTAGGTTAGTTATACTACATATTTTAGGATTTAATGTGATTTGAGGTTTTGTATATGCGGCTAATATTTGATGCATATATGACTTCTGTAACATATCTTTAATTTATACATGCTAATGAGTTTAAGGATCAGTATTTGAATTGGTTTGTTGGACAATGATGAAATTTGCTAATGAGTTTTGTTTAAATTTATACTTAACTCCCAACAATATCAATGTTTGATTAAACCCTTGATGCATATGAGCAAACAACGATATTTAGTTATCTGCTTGCCTATAATGATCCATAGAATCATAAAGAGAAAGAAACAACAATCCTTTATGTAATTACAACTTCGGTAAATCATACATATTTTACAACATGAGACTTTCAACTAATTTAAACATTTTTTTAATTAATGTATTTCAACAAGTTCATGTAGTTAGATCAATAATGTTAGTCTAATATACGTAAATTAATCTCATGTGCCGTAGTACTCATATAATCAAGGTTCAATAGGCGTTAGGTAGACGTTGGGCTAAACAATAATGAATAATGTCATAGTTTTGATTTCTAATAAAAATTTGCTCCAAATTTTTAGAGGGGGAATTTTCTTTAGCTTCAAATTTTGTTTTGGCTCTGACATTTCCTTTAATTCTAAAATTAAATTGGCTCAAAATTTTAATAGACTCCAAACTTTAATTTAAGGCTGCAAAAATTGTTTGGTTAAAAATTTCATACCCGCCAAAAGCACAAAATCAATCCGCCTCTTTAATAGTCCCGCACTTTTGCCCAAAATTTGATCCACCTCCAAAATTTCCTTTGGCTCCATCCCGCAAAAATTTTCCTCTCAACTTAAATCAACCAAAAACTTCCGACCCAACACATCTAAAAGTAAATCCCCCACCCCACCCCACCTCCAATTCCAAGTAAGTTTTAGATTTTGAACATAATGTAAAAAGGTTTTAGAACCAAAAAATTCATTTTGAAAGACTATATTAAATAATATAGTAATTATTCGGGTTTATCGGGCAGGTTTGGATTAGTCGGGTTAGGGTCAATCGGGTTGCGGGTTAGTCGGGTTTGGGCTCAATCTGATTGCGGGTCATTCGGTTTCGGGTTTAATCAGGTTACGGATCAATCGGCTTGCAGGCTGATTGGTTGCGGGTCCATCGGATTACGGGTCCGGCGGGATACGGCTCATTGAATTTTAATCAGTTTGGGTTACGAGCGGGTTGCGGATCGGGTTAAACGAGCGAGTTACTCGGGTCGGGTTCTGTTTTGACACCTCTACATGTAATCACTTTTGCAGCTAAAATACCATCAAACATCAAGAAAGTACTTTTAGCTTCTAATGGTGAGCCCAATTTGGACATTGCTAGCTTCAAACACCTTTTTGGCCAAATGCAGGGCTTGAACAACACTAGGTCTAGTATCACTTTTCCCGTGCAACAACTATGTCAATTCCAAGACTCTCCAAAAAAAGTATAAGTTTTAGATATTCAAAAAAACCTCCAAGAAAAGGATTATACTATCCAATTGATTCAACCATAAAGATTACTGGATACATTGACTCTGACTGGGCAACATTCCTAGACTCCAGTAGATCAATTACAAAATTTTGACCTTTCTTGGAAATAGGTTAATCAAATGGAAGAGCAAAAAAGCATAGTATCGTGTCTAGATCATCTTCTAAAGTTGAGTACAAAGCTCTTGCTCATCTTAGTTGTGGAGTTCAATGATTGGTCGGATTACAAGGAGATTTTGGTATTAATCACTCTCATTCATCAATTGAATCCATTGTTGAGTAAAGACTCAGCTAATTTGGCATACCACATTCCGCTTGCTTGCTTATCAATCCACATTGCCGGAATTCCAGTGTTTCATGAACAGATAGAAGTAGATTGTCACGTCATCAGGGACTGAGACTGTACAATGGTTTGATAAACTTGCATACTTTATCTAATGTTCATCAAATTGGTTACCAAGAGTTTGAGAATTGTTAAATCCAATCTTATGTTATCTAATGCTGGGAGCATCTGAAAGATGCTTGCTCGCTTGTGGGGGTGTATTGGAGAACTGATTATATTAGCAGCAACACCAACTTGAGCGTCCACGTCCTCTGCAATTGAAGTTGCTGTTGAATCGAACATCAATAGAGAATGAGGTTTCGTGAGCAGGATTTGAGTGAGTGAAATGGAAAGCCGAATTCCTCTTTTGTCGAGAAATGGGGATAAGATTGAAACATTCACATTCCACTAAGCAAGAAACGCGAAGCCTCAGTTGTGAGTAAAACATCATCGTTGCACACTAGATTTTGTAATTAGTTAGTTAGCCAGATGTACATATTTGATTGGTTATTTTGAGTAGTTATTTATTTAGCCATTGCGAATACTTCACTTTGTACAAATGAGTTATATATATGAAATAAAAACCAGAGAATCCTTCCCCAAAACCCTACTCTCTTGCTTTTCTTCTCACACTTGCATGAGCGCCTCCAATAGCTGCTCGTTCCCTCTCCAGCGATCTTCCCAGCTCCTTCTAGCGCATCCTCCCTCTTCCATGTATTGTGCTTCTCCGAATCGGTCAGCTAGTCTAGTTATCCAGACAAGCTTGTTCCGTCACGGAAGCAAACCCCAAAGCAAGCAAAAATCACGAAATTGAGCATTGAACGTAAGAAGCAACATATTTTGTCGTGGCTGTTGTTGGGGCCCTGGTCAAGACGTTGTAGCAGCGGGTCAAAGATAAGTAGGGTTCAGTTTGCAGAGGAGTGTCGTTGGCGTCATTTTCCCCCAGTGTGATGGAATGGAGTGTCAAATACTACGAATATAGAAGAGACAACACCAGATTTAACGTGGTATCTCTGAATCTCAGGACTAATCCACGGGAGAGATTGTGCTCTCCAAGAGTTTCACTACAATCAATATGGCTTAGTTACAGGAGTAAAACCGAGTTCGGCTTAATATAGGGTTAAACACTAACCTAGACAATTAAGTGTCTAATTAAATAATGGTACCTCAACAATACAAACCAACACCCTCCCTCAAATTGATGTGCGGTTTGCAACATCAATTTGGAAGACATGTACCAATGTCTACTCAAAGCAACTGCCTTTGTAGTAAATATGTCGTCTGATCTTTAGTAGAGAGATATCCAATCTGAACTACTCCTTCAGCCACTAATTGTCTAATGTAATGAACATGCACCTCAATGTGCTTAGTTCTATCATGCAACACCGGATTGACAGCAATCTAAATTGCACTCGTGTTATCCCCATATATCGTCATTGGGACTCGACAAGAAACACCCAATTCTCCAAGTACCCGATGAAGCCATACCATCTCAGAGCTTACCTCATACATGGATCGATATTCCGCTTCTGTTGATGACTTCGAGACTCGATCCTACTTCTTACATCTCCAGGAAACAAATGATTGTCCAACGCAAATACACTAGTCTGGTGTCGACCTTCGAGTATCCATACAACTAGCATAATCTACATCGACAAATGCCTCTGCCATGGGATCGCCTGTTGCCGGAAAATACAATCCAACATCCTGCGTTTGCCTTAGGTACCTTAAGAGACAATGAACTGCAGCCAAATGCAGATTAGTCGTTATCCCCATAAACTGACTTACAACCTGAATTGCATATGCAATGTCCGGTCGCGTATGAGTTATGTAAATCACGCTGCCGACAAGAATATGATACAATGACTGATCTTCGAGCAGTTCTCCCCTGTCCCGACTTAGTTTAAGATTCTATTCCATAGGAGTAGAACAAGGAACACAATCTGTAAACTGAGCCAACTCCAAGATATCCAAAATATACTTGCACTGACTCACAAACAAGCCACGAGGGGATCGACTAACCTCCAAACCCAGAAAATATGAGACATCCCCCATTTCCTTCAGATTGAACGCCTGCTGCAAAGTCTGAGTCGCATCTCAGATCCCTCCTTGATCACCGCCAATGATAATCATATCATCAACGTATATTAACATAATCACAATCCCATCAACAGTCTCATGAGTCACGGGTGAACAATGAAGGATCATTCTGACTCCTGTGAGAAGCCAGCCTGACTGTTACACCTAGGGCTGGTAAACGGTTTTGCGGTAGTCGGTTTAACCAGTTACCAAACCGGTAACCGAACATAACGGTATTCGGCTGGGGATCGAGATGCTGGCGGTATGCCGTTACCGAGAGAGAAACTTACCGTCGGCGGGTCGGTAATCCGACACCGACTGGGAAACAAAAACTAATCAAGCGCCAAGGCCCATAAGGCCATAATTGCATCCCTGAAAACTAATTGCATCCCTAAAAAATCCCTACGAAGTACGAACGATCTCCATTCGACTACAGACCATAAATAATTGCATCCCCTGCGCGGCTGCGCCTGAGTGACTGCTGCACGCCTGCACTGTCCACGACCGCCGTCCGCCGATCCCTCCTCCTCCGTTCATCAAAATCAACCTCCACGCATCCACCCAGGGGCACGACGGCAGCAGCAGATTTCATCATCGTTGACTCTGTTTCCATCGTCGTTTGTTGGCTGTTGGTCGTTGGTCGTTGCTCTGTTTCCGTCGAAGGCAGTCATCGCTGTCGAACCCCGTCGTCTCCTTGTCACTTGTCTCATCATCGTTGGCTCGTTGGTCGTTGCTCTGTTTCCGTCGAAGCCAGTCACCGTCGAACCCCGTCGTCTCCGTCGCTAGCGCAAGCGCCTCCACCCAAGGCATCGTCCCTTCTCCGGCTGTCCATCCATTTTGGACTTTAGAATTAAAGGTAACCTGTGTAGGCTGTCCGTCCATTGTTTTTTGATTAGTGCGAGTGTGCGACTGTGCGAGCAGATGAGCAGGCGAGCAGCAGTAGGCTGAGTCTCGTAGGTACTAGGTAGTAGGCTACTTAGAGGTTTACTTTATTTATATCAATTGTTTGAGACTTGAGTTGATTATTAAGTATTAACTAATAATTATTTTGCTGTTTGCTTTTCATTTTTGCAGGTTTAGAAACTTGAGAAACCAAGGAGAAAAATGTAATAGTTAATTTTTGCTTAATAATTAGTTTGTTGTTTGCTTTTCATTTTTGTTTTTCATTAAGTATTAACTAATTTATTAACTTGAGAAACAAAGTACAAAAATAAAAAATGTAAGAATTAGTTTGCTGTTTTCTTAATAATTAGTTTGTTGTTTGCTTTTCATTAAGTATTAACTAATTTATTAACTTGAGAAACCAAGTACAAAAATGTAAGAATTAATGTTGATGCCTTTTTTTACATGTTGGCAATTTTATGATTTTTAATTTTTTACATTTTTTCTTTTTGTTGTAGGACGAAATCTTCTCGTCCTAGTAAAGGAGATGCTCCGAAAAAAAGTGGTTCCATTCCTCCTCGATCCACTTCCAAAAAGGATCGAGTGAATGTCTCATCTAGTACACCTACACCTGCTGGAGCTGCAGAAGGGATTCAAGTGAATGTCTCATCTAGTACACCTACACCTACCAGTGCCATTACATCTCCACCTGCTACTGCACCTCCTGCAGCTGCCACGCCTACACAGGTGACTGATATGGGAAGGGAAGTGGGTGAGGCAAAGAAAATTGTGAAGGTGACTAAAAGGAAGAAGAAGTCCCCGTGGTGGACTCCTTATAATGAGGTTCTGGTGGATGACTACCCATATGGCAAATGCAAACAATGTGGAACATTGATCAAAGCTCACTCTACCAATAACGGGACTTCTGGTTTGAAGCAACATCACTTGGCATGTGAGAGGAAGAGGAAGGAAGCCAGTGGTCAATCACTATTGAACTATCAACCTGGGGATGGTGAGGTAGGCTCTCTAACTCCATGGAAGTTTGATCAACAAAGAGCTAGAACTGCATTAGTTGTTATGATCATCTTGGATGAGCTGCCATTTCGCTTTGTTGAGCATGAAGGGTTTAAGAGATTTATGGCGGTAACCCAACCATTGTTTGTGATACCTGGAAGACAGACAATAAGGCAGGATTGCTATATAATCTTTTTGGAGAAAAAAGAGTTGTTATCTGAGTTCTTCAAATCCAAGTGCAAAGGAAGAATTTCTATCACCACAGATACATGGACTTCTGATAACAACCAGAATTTCATGTGTGTGACTGCTCATTTCATTGGGAGTGACTGGAAGCTGCCGAAGAGGATCATTAGCTTTATTCCCATCACTAGTCACACAGAAGGACATTGCAGAAAAATTGGCAGAATGTCTACAAGATTGGAAAGCAAAACAATTGTTCTCCATTACCATGGATAATGCTTCTTCTAATAATGTTCTTGCAGAGTGTATGAGAACAAAGATGAAAGAGTGGGGAACAGATTTGATTGGTGGGAAGTATTTTCAATTTCGATGTGTGGCACATATAATCAATTTGGTTGTGTCGGATGGGTTGAAGGAGGTTGGAGTTGCTGTAGAAAGAGTTCGAGATTGTGTTAAATGGGTGAAGTCATCACCAGGTAGAAGTGCAAAGTTCAAATCTGCCATTGATTATCTATCAATGGATGGAAGAAGACTTCTATCTTTGGATGTTCCAACTAGGTGGAACTCAACTTATTTGATGTTGGAATCTGCAGAAAGGTTTGAGACTGTCTTTAACTTCTTGCATGGAAGCCCCAATGATTCTGCATTTCGGGATTATGTGGACTCAAAGAGAGGTCTTCCAACTAAGGAAGATTGGACCAGTATTCGACGGCTAATGAAGTATTTGAAGTTCTTTTATGAGCTCACCTTTCGGGTATCAGGTATGTGAACAAACATAACTCTTTTGTGATTTAACTTGTAATTCAAATAATTTTTGAATAATTTGTTGTTATTTTTGGATGTATCAGGAACATCTTATGTGACTGCTTATACTTTCTTTAAGGCTATTGCTGACATCTATGAAGTGATAGAACTTTTTAAGAAAGACATGGATGTAGAGATACAACGGATGGCAGCAAGAATGGAGGCAAAGGTACGAAAATATTGGTTTGAGAATGATGATGATGATGATGATGACGAGGTGGAGAACCTAAGGATAAATAGACTGGTTTACATGGCTTGTGTGCTAGATCCTAGGCGTAAAATGGCTTATTTGTATTGGATGTGGGGTAAGATGTATGGGAAGAAGAAAAGAGACGATTTGGTGAAAGATGTCACTGCAGAGATGACTGCATTATTTGAGGTTTACAGATTGAAGTATGCGCCTCAACCCTCCGAGCCTACTGTTACCACTCCTAGTGCTGATGATGGTACTGGATCTGCATCTTATGGAGGGACATTTGATGCTGAATTCTTTAAGATGAGAAAGGAGCAACTACAGAGGGGGATTAGAGGTTCTTCTGAGCTAGATATCTACTTAAGAGATGTTGATGATGCTATTAACGAGGATGATAATGATATGAAGTTTGACATCTTGCTGTGGTGGAGTAAGAACAGCGTTAGATATCCTATTCTTTCCTAGATGGTTAAGGATCTCCTAACTGTTCCAGTCTCCTCTGTTGCCTCAGAGGCTGCTTTCAGTTGTGGAGGTCGAGTTCTCACTCCGTTTAGGTCTTCGTTGAGCCCCACCATTGTAGAGGCCTTGATTTGTGCTGAAGATTGGATAAGGTATGAAGGAGGAAAGAAAGCAGACAAAGTTGATGATACTGAAGATGGAAATCAATACCAAATCGATTATGAAAGTGGTAAGAATTCTTAATTTCATTTATTTTTAAGTTTTCCATTAGTCCATTTCTGATTACATATTAATATTATTAGATGAAATGTAACAATTTGTATTTTCTTTTTACACTTAGTCACTACTAACTTCCAAACTCGAATGGAGAGTGCTACTGCCAAGCCAAATGAAGGTGTCAAACAAAGTTTACCTGTTGTGGTGGAGGAGGAAGAGGAGGAAGATTCAGACGAGGATGAGGAGGACGAGGAGGATAATGGTGATGATAACCTTCGCACCACTTTGAAGCAGCAAGGTTTCGTTGATGTTGGTGGTACAGGTTCTAGTGGCAAGTGAGGAGCTAGTAATTCTATTTTTTTATCTTCATGTCTTCGAATTTAATTTAAACATTTAGAAGCAGCAGACCAAATTGCTCTATTTCCTCTATTTGGAATTCTACGTACTACGTACAACTATAATGCTATATTTGATATTATTTTTTAGTATTTTCATTTTTCAATTTGATGTTTGGAATTTACTTGTTAGATTTATTATTATTTTTAATTAATTAGCCGGCTGCTGACCATTGGATCTTTGTGCCCCAAATTTAGTTACAATACTATTGACATTTCATTTGATTTGAGTATTTGACAATGGAGTATTGACATTTGGGTAATTGGGTTTTTTTATTATTTTCAATTTAATTTACTATATTCTTAATTTGATTGACATTATGACTCAAAACTCAAAAGTGACATTGTTAATTTAATTTACTTTTTGGATTGGTTAATCACTTCACTTTAGTCTTTACATATATAATTGACATTGTGACTCAAAGTCTTTACATATATTTAATTTGATTGACATTTGCTTAATTGTTTTTGGCTTTTTGCTTTCGTCTGCTTCTCTTGAGTCATGACTCATGAGTCATGAGAAAAGTCAGAAAACCGACAGCGGATAGGAGGACAGAGGACAGGCTCACAGGCGGACAGCGGACAGGCGCTTCACTGTAGCTCTCGGTAATACCGTGCAACTTACCGACACCGAGTGGAACGGTAAACGGCATACCGAGGCCCTGCCGGTAACGGTGTGCGGCTGGTGCTTGGGTAATTTCGGTAATACTGAAACCGGTAAATTGGTAAACGGTAAACCGGTTACCGTACCGTTTACCAGCCCTAGTTACACCCCATTCTTTCTAAAATTTAAATGGACTATTACACCCTTGGATTAATTCTTCAAGTTCCACTGTAATATCGATGAGGATTAAAAACGTGAACTATCGGTTCGAACGGTGTCAAATTTCGATATAAAACAACGAAGTTATGAACGTAGAAGTAGTTGTGAGTTTGAGAGGAAAGCGGGTCGTGAAGTTGATAATGAGAAGAAATGGGTCCGGGTGAAAGAAGAGGGCTCAAGCCCGTTCGCATTGAAAGAAAGGAGTGGTTCTACTCTAAGAAGTTGACAGAAGCAGAGCAGTGGTGAAAAACTGAGCATCGGGAGGGGGTTTTTTGGTGGGTAACGGACGAGATGAGGAATTTAATTGAGGTTAATGAACACTAATGTGGGTTGATTTTTTCCACAACAAAAGGGACGCAGGAAAGATCAAGGAAGCGAGTTGTGTTGCGCGAAAGTTAGAGTAAAGCAGAGCACAAACTACCGGAAATCGTTGCTCCATGGCATGAGACGAGTAGGGGCTGAGAAGTCTTGGTCGGCAAAATTTTCTCCTAGATTAGATGCCCTCCGTCAGGTGGTTGGTTCCTGTCCATATACGAGAGGTGTTTGCTAGAGACGAGTGGGGGGAGAACAACTGATGAAGAAGTTTACGCCAGTGAGAGGGAGACGTGTAGCCATCACCGCAGAGGCGGGAGGAAGGCCGGGAATTTGGCAACTGCGGTCTTGACTATTCGTGCAATGGAAAGGCCACGCTCTTATCCTCCGCAATGACCTAGGGTGTCGGCAATTCAAAGCTAGCCTCCGACGTATGGGCCGTGAAGAGGTGAGGTAGTTCGCGTCGGCGATAGCGAATCTCTCGAAAAATCGATCCCGAGGTGCTGTTGTTCGAGGAAGAGGAGGAGGAGCCGAAGGAGTGCGACGATGATGCACTCGAATTTGGAGGTGCCGGAGACGACGACTACTGCCGAAACAAGGAAGATGATGGCGGGTGGAAGAGAAGAACGACTGTGAGTTCTTGTACCGTTAATTTGGAAATCAAGGGCATGATTTTTAAATTTG